ATAAAACATAACTTATATTTAGTACTTAAATAAAAATTGAAGTATAAGTTTAGTAGATGAAAATGCAACTTTAACTTTTGAAAAATAAATATTGTTAACTAGTGTTTTGGGAGCTCAAAAATCGAATCCAAAATTTAAATAAAACTTTTTGTTGAATCAGCAAGAAGTCGAAATTATAGTTAAAGTGTCATTTTTGGCGAATTATATTGAGCAAAATAATTAAAGAGTGCTTAAATATTTTGCTCCTATGGGTTAGTATGAAGTATGGACTATTGTGTGAAATGCTTATTGGTTGAATTTAATAAGGTTTAGGCCTTTTAAAAATTGTAACAAATGAGTTAATGGCTACTTAGTCCCAACTGAAAATTCATAACTTTTCTAAGTATGGAAGAGTGTTAGACAATGCTATTTTGATGTTTAAGTTCTAACTAAAATACTTAAACACTAGTTTTATATTTTTATACTGTTGGTTGCTTCTAAGTAAGCATTTGAGCATGGTGTAGGTCGAAGTTGTGTTGGATGTCACGTTGCTTTGGTAAAAATTGTCCAAACCTCCTTAGAATGCGCTGTGAACCATGATTTGGTGCTCGGTTCGTGAACCGGCGTTCAACGCGACGATCTTATCTTGGCGTCTCTCCATCTTTCTCTTGGGCCATCCTCCGGTCGTAAGCATTGTTTCGTTAGTTAGCTGTTAGCACTAGCTACAGGTTAGTGGAATTGGTTGAGTCTTAATCGAGATGCTAAGTAGTTTTGGCTCGCTTTAAAAATCGTGCTTGGCACCGTTTAGGCCGCTGGCCCCATGGGTGCGGTCACCACGCGTGCATGCGTTGCTGGTGCCGAACTCAGGCTGTGGCCGGGCTGTTGCCGCTGTCTAGCTCGTGTGCCCGGTCGGTGCCGCGCGTCGCCCTTGGCCTCGTGTTGGCCGTCCCGGCTGGCTATGGCTTGCCCTGCTATCATTGTGCGCGCGCCACCCTCTGGTCGCCGAGCCGCGCGTGGGGACGAGACAAGGCTGCGGCTATCATCGCCTTGCCATCGTGGCGCTCGCCTCACCCCTCGTTTCACCTACCGCGTCGAGGCTCTGGGCAGATGCCAATGCCGCCACGTCTGGGCCAATGACCTCGGTCGCAGGGGCGATGGTGATGTCCCTCTGCCGCGCTTGCCCCCGCTAGCCGACGCCGGTGCGACCTGCTCGGGTCGGCCGCTCCAATTCAAGCGCTTCACGCCAAGCCTCTAGGTCTCGTCGTCTGTGCGCACGTGCTCGAACTGCTGCCATCGATCGGGGTCACCTCGTCATAATCCGCTCGGGCTCACTCGTGTGACCTCCCCACAGCCGCACCGTGTGCAGAGCCACCATTCCTTCCTCTTCCTAATCACCAACTCGGGCTTTCCCCGCATCAGTGGGTGGCATAGGTAGTCCGCTAGGCGCGCTGTTCTCCTCAAGCCCGGCCGATCACTACCAACCGGCAATTTGGCGTTTTGCTCGCCGCCGGCCGTGGGAGTCGCCGAATCTCGGTAGGTTGGGAGGTAAGGCATGTAGGAGTGGTAGCAGTTCGATTGCTCGTAATCTCGAGCTCACCTTGACTCCCTCCATCCGGTGCTCGCGTTACTTTGGCCAGGATGCTCGACGACGGAGTGTGGACGCGTCGGTGCCGCGCTCGGAGCGCCGCCGGGCGGTGCGGGCGCACGTGGCCAGACCGCCACAACGCTCCCCTGCTTCAACCGTCAGTGGGGTGTGCACCACGGTGAGCCACTGATGCTTATCCGCCACTTCTAGTCTGTCGAGCATACGTAGGTTCGTCGGAACAGGCACGCCACCGCCACGGATAGCCGCTCGCCGCTGCAGCTCGCGCCAGTGCGTCTCTGAGCCCCTAGCCGCCACCCATCTTAGCGTGTTTAGCCATAGATGGCGACCAACCCGCTAAATGGGTCCGCGCAGGCCCCTAGTGGCCGGCATGGACGCCCAGTGCTGCCGCTCGCCACGCCGCCGTGCACGGGGTGGTCGGGGGTGCACGCGGGGAAATTTGGAAAAATCCAGGGGGTTAAGTGAATTCGCCAGAGAAAAGGAGAAATAGTATTAGGACCTAGTCGTGGTTCGGGAAAAATCCGATGGCTCATTTGCGAAAGTGCCAGCACGGGCTCCCCGCCGTGGGCCGTCTCGCGCCAAGTCGAGGACTTAAATCCGGGTGGGCTGGTTCCACCACAAGGAGCCTAACCAATTGATCTATGATCAATTTGCTATAATTTATATTTTTTAATTAATGAGACATCGGAATCGTTCTTTTCATAAAGTATATCATTGCTTTTTAGAGTTTGTGTGTAGTAACTTTTAATTTTTAAATTTAATTAAATTAACTAATTTTGATAGAGTTTTTACATGTGGAACTTGATGACATTTGTGATGATCACTTTGCCTATAAAAGACATAGAATTGTCATGGCGCTTCTTTAATCCAAGCATATTATGTTGCACAAAGAAATTTTAAATTGGTTGTATAATATCCTAATCGCAGCAATAAATAACAAATAGCTCAGTTGCATCCATGTAAGACAAACTTCTGTCTTTTGTTCCCATGTCTAAATTAATTGGCACATACACTCAAGTCTCAAAAATTGATATAATAAAGCTCTCATCTGTATTGCCATTTGGGTCAAGGTCTCCAGCGTCCAATAACAATGTTCAGGTGCCCAAATCAATATTATGGCATCATCACTAACCAGTAAGGCAGTAACCACACAAGAAACCTGGGCATTTGACGATACAGCATTTAGTCAGCTTTCAATTCCACAGTATGATCACCACGAAATTGCATTTAAGATTCAACAGTTACCCAATACCAGTACATGATCAGCAGCTACAGCAACCATCAGAGCATGGAATACGCAGAACAAATCAAATAACCCGATCCAGAGAACAATAGTGCTGATGATCCAATTCCTGGTTTCGGTAAGTCCTCGGGCAAGCCCATGGGTGCAGTAAGCAACGTCTAATCTAAATATCTAATAGCCACATCTTCATGAGCCTCCATAATGTACACACATGCAAAGCCTCCATATTTTTGTCAGACAACAATACTAGTTACTGCTTCTTTCATCCCAGTCACATTAAGTTTCTTAAACTCCACTTGAAAATAACATGTGGAATTATGAATTTCAGCTGCATTCAACATTCTTCCTCCCTCATTAGCCTTTGTTCCTTGCTAACCACCATCTCCATAGGAAAATTATAATCTTCAACTGAGTATTTTTATCCAGCATCCAAATCATAGTACAAGTCTCCCATGCTGAATTGCATCTAGTTAAATCAGATCTGATGTGTTCCAAATCCATTAGGCGCAGCACGTCCTAACAAACTTGTATTTGAAAAAGAGATGGCCATTATCCTCATCAAACCTTCTGCAAATGGGACATGTCGTATCTATGTCAATACTACGCCTTACCAAGTTTCTTCTTGTTGGCAATTATGAGCAAAATGCCATAGGAATATTTTCACTTTGTTAGGAGGAACTTTATGTTGCCATATTTTATACCACTCGAATTCACTTTTGTTATCACTTCCATTCCCTGAAGTAGAAGCAACCAAACCAGCCATCCCTCCTTGCAACCGCAACCTTATAGGCCGATTTTAGTGAAAACAAACCCTTTTGTGTCAAAATAACATGCAGGCCAATTCTCCAAATTATCTGCAATTGGGATTCTTAGGATCTCAATGGGTTTTGGTGCAGGCGTACAGCGCATCCAGGCGTAGTGCCAGCGCCTGGTGCTGCCGGACGGAGCGTCAGCCCGTGTTTGTAGGTGACTGGCTGACTGCACACACCAGCGAATGGAGACTGAACACCGCTGACCTTTTGTCATGGAGATCTGCTAGCCGTGTGCACCATCGTCAGGCCTCGGCCGGGGCTCCTCGCCGGCTAGCAGCGCTCCCGCGTTATCGGCCGGCTCCCGGCTGCAGCGCGCGCTTGAAGACGGCAGCTGCAGACTGCAGTGAGGGACCGAAGGCCATGAGCTGATGCGCCTGACCGTCATCGGCTGACCGACCACCCGGCTGGCCATCTCCCCCATCGCTGACCGTCTTTCCGCATGCATGCTTGAAGCTAAGGCCGAGGTGGCTGGCGTCCATATCTGAAACACGATCCTCAGCACCGGATGGGCTTGTCTGCTACTCCTACTGGGCCTCCGCATCCTATCTCAGGCACGGACTATTTTTTTCTTCAAAACACAACAGAATACAGATTCATTCCATACTCCAAATATCTTTTTTCGAAAGATCAATCCAAATTTTAATATCACTCCTTTAACCTAAATAGTAAATAGGGCCTCTTTCGATGACCCACGGCCAAGTGATGTGTGCAGGAGTGCCATAGAAAAGTTCTGGACTGTACAATGTACTCAGTTTACTATCACATAAAGCGTGCAAGGGCAAGTGGAATTGTGGATCACCTGCACTGCAGCACAGGAGGAAGGGAGAACATGCACAAGAAGCACAAGGCGCCAACCTCCAACGCCGAACGGGGTACAAACATATCTGCCGAAAACATAACGTGCTGACTCTGGAGTGAACAAGCAAAGAAAAATTCCAATCTTGTAAAAGGAGAAGGGGTGCAAACCCGATTCACATTCGCAGTTCAAAACTGGACGATTCTCACTGTCCATTGAGTATCGACAAAGGAACGCAACGTAAAACACAAACTACTAATTGCTTCAGCTTATTTACACCTGGAGATGCGTCCTGCACCGAACAGACAACAAAAATACCTTCTGACGTTAACTAGCTGCCATTTCTGACAAAGTGTTACATCAACCTCCAAACACCAGGAAGCAAAGAATGCCAGAGCACCATCAAAATATGCTCCGACGTCTCCAACCAATGCCGCCACTCTATTTACAAATTACAACAGATACCCTATCAATCAGGAACGATACCGATACAGAAACTAAAACACTAGTGCTACCACTACCCAGGCCCTAGATCGAGTATCTATCAGGATTGTTAAAAAACCATTTTTACTGATCCCCATCGAGTTCTTCAATTAAACTACGGAGTTTTTGAACCACCGGATTATCCCAGTGGACTCTGATCCTCTCCATGAGCAATCTACATGGGTCATCATCAGAGGGCGGTAGATCCTTTGGAACCGGAGGATTGAGGAACGGGTGCTTGAGAAGTTGAGGTATCCTCCATCGTTCATTTCGGTCCCAGGCGAGACACCTTTGCATCAAATCAATCAGCCATGGGTTGTCAACTGGTTCATACATGATCTTGTGGTTCCTATCAGTGACTTCTTTATATTTGGCCCAGAAAGTCTTGTAGTCTGCAAATGGTGTCTTACCATACACCATCTGGTAAAGTATACAGCCAAGAGACCAAATATCAGAGGGGCGCCCGCACTTGATAACATTACCACCTGAGTCTGTATCATTGCACATGAATGCTTCAGGTGACATGTAGTTCAGAGTCCCTACCTGCTCAGTGCAGTGAGAAAACCACAATTAGCCTTTCATAAAAAACAACACACATAACTCGAGATAATGGTAATATTGTTAATATACAAGTGATGCCAACAAAGAAATGCTATAACTGTAACATGGTACCTGAGCATCACGTTGAATATTTGTTGTATCATTCATTATAGCCTTGGCAATGCCAAAGTCAATTAGTTTAAGAGAGCCCTCACAAGCATAAAGTTTGCAGGCTTCAAATCCGAGTGGACTATTCGTTCCTCATGTATTGTACTGACAGCTTCAAGCATTTGCTACAGTAGAAACGAAAGAAGAAGAAAAAACATCAAAAGGTGTCTGAAAAGGCTAAAAGCTCACATCACTTATTACTCCCTTCGTTTCGCTATGTTTGTCAACGGCCTTTGGAAAAAACATTCCACAATGTTTGTCCATTGAAGATGCCAAGGGTATAGTTATTACAATTTTTCTACTACCTAGTACCTACCCCTAATTAAATGCTTGGATAAAAAGAATAGGTAATATTATGGCATTGTTATTTCACATTGTTTTTTTCCTTGAAACTAGTATTTCCTTGGTCAATGCACATTGTGTGCTGTGAACAGAAATGGAATGACGAGAGTATGCAACTAAAACACTAAGTTCACATAGGGTTCATTATCTCATTGGGCAACAAGATACAACAACTAATTCTGTGCAATTCTTTTCTTTCAAAGTTTTTGCATAAATCTAGAAGAACTTAGATAACTTGCTCAGCATAGATAAAACAAATACTAGTAGCAGAACCAGAAACCAGTTGGCCAGTAAATACAATTGACCTAGCTACCTACCCAGCAGTCTTTAAAAGATTAAAACTAATGGAAAAAACCATGAAGGGTTAATACGACTAGGAACAATAATATATGACAACTTTTAATTGAAATAAAATATGACTTTTGGTTTGAGGACACTATAGCATGAGATCTCATCTTTAGCTACAGTGCAGCCTAATTATCCAGTACCCAGACGCCTCATTTAGTCTATTTCGGATAAAATGAAGGTTACCTGCCAATAAAAGCGTAGCCAATTTTCATCAATTTTCATATTAGAGTTGTTTCTCTCCTTCCACTTCAGAGCAACCATGTTAGCCAAGTCAATTTCACCATACTCCAGGACCATATAAATAAAGTGATCATCCTTAATTCTTCCATCCCTGGGTGGCACGGAACTTTCTAGAAGTAAACTCTTATCAGTGACCTGGTTGATGCAAAATCCATAGGCATATCAGAATATGTCACTCTGGAGATAGAATGGATAATTTGTGTAATAAGTAAAATTATTCTATGGAAACCAATAAGGACAAAGAACAATTTGACATCAGGTGTATTTTAGATAGCCAGTAGCTGCTGACAAATTACAATCATATGGCAATGTGGTTAAAATCTTTGGCACCACTCACCAGTCACCACACACAATTTACAGCCCTTTATATATGGCCTACAATTTACAATCCTGTATATATAAGACAACTTCTGTAAATACGATCATTGCAATTGTATAGTACTGGAGCTTGTACCAAAGATTTTATATATAGAAAAGCAACAGCTGTTGTTCTTTAAGTACTGAAAGTAAAGTGCAGAATTTTGCAGACATGAAAATGTTAGGTGGAGGCAACAGAGGGTACTACACACACTAACTGGATAACTCGTATAAAAAAAACTCAAAATAACACAACATATGATACAGATGCTACCAGCTAGATGTCCTATGGGTGAATGTGCATCATCTAGTAGTGTGCAACTAGGACCAGAAAACAGCAGTGGAGTCTAGTTAGTCTGGTAAGTTTATGATATGAATGAATGAGAAATAACACAAAACATAAAAAAAAATTACATGATGCAGGAGAAGTTTCATATGTGTTTCTATAAAAAGTGTGAGGGAAAAAAAAACAATATAGATCCTTGATTCTATTCATTGATCATCATTAATAATGGTCCTATGGAAACTAAGTAAAATGTAAATGTTTACATAAAGTTGGTTACACAGAGGCAGGAAATGAAGATGATAATTCAATAGTAAGTTCTACGAGGATAGGAAGACAATGCAGTCACTATTTTGGTGGGACAAAGATACCAAAATAGAAAAAAAATTGGAGATAAGGTTAGGAACTTGGTACCTCGTAATCAATCATCTGAATGATATTGCTCTTTCCTTTCAACTTATTTAAGTACTCAATTTCTTGACAAAACCCATATGCAGTAGGGTAGTCACGGCCTCTAAGCTTGATCTTTTTCAAGGCATATATTATGCAATCTGATGATATAACTTTATGAACTTCACTGCTACCTCCAGATCCTATTTTACCAAGTTTCTGATAAAGTTTCCCATTCACCTTAAAGAAAACATTAGGATCATAATTCTTTTTGTGGCGCTCCTTCTCACCCTTGTTTGGTCGGGAAGCACCACCATCCCTGGCAGATGTAGACTGATCATTTGCAGGTAATTCTTCGGAACGCAATCTGCCAATGCTGGAAACAGCTTTGTCCGTGGCACCATTGCTTAGATTTCGAACCTGCTGGTTGTGGGGATTCCAATCACCGACACCAGTCCCACCAGCATGAGAACCATGGACCAGTACACCCTTGGATGATTCTACAGCAGATTCTGGCATCTGCACTGGTGAAGTGTACCTGCTAACCTGTGGAGTTTGTGAACTTTGGACAGTAGGCCCTGAGTGTAGAGAAATGGCAGTGACAGATGAACCAATGGCAGAGAATCGAGTCATTGGCTCTCCATGATTGTGATTACGAGCCTCATCGATCCCTCTCCGAGATAAATTAGGCGCATCATATTTGATATCCATATCAACTTCTGCACCAACAATTTCAAGCTCCTGATGGTTCTGCTGGTGATCGTACTGAGCTCCTTGATTTGCAGGAAAATTATCTCCTGCCGTCAATGAAACAGAATGTAGATAAGACGACATACTGTCCATTCTACTATCAACAGTGATGCCTATATTATCACCTGCAATGTAAACTGATTACTAAACATGTACACAACTTTGCAGTAAAGTATCAAAGAAAGAAAAGGTTTCTTACTTTGTGACGTCAACTGTGGATTACCATCCAAATCAAGCTGTCCTTTCTTGAAATTTTCCCCCATCAAAGCATTGCATGATGTAATTTGAGATGACAAAGCTTCCAAAGCTGACTTCTCCGTATCAATCAACAGATTAGCCTCATTATTCTTCTGGCCAACACTTTGTGCATGGGTATCAATGGTGCTTTTTAGCATTGATGAGGAAGCTGTCAACATCAGCTCATCTGGGGCAGAGGACCCTAATTTAGGAGTGCTTTGATCAGGCGTCGCATTTGGCAGCCTAGAGGATCCCAACAGGCCTCTCTGAGGCTGCGTAACTTTTCGTTCAGGGTCTTTCGCAACAGAAGGGCAGGCACCAACTTTAGTTGCACGCTCACATCCGGAAACCAGGACCCTAGTTGCTCTTGGAAGTTTAGACTGCATTGGACCTGGGGCAAGGTCAGTTAGAAAGATCAATATAGTATACAAACTCGAGACAACATCACAGATATACAATACAGTATACAAGAAAGATCAATACAGTATACAAACTCGAGACAACATCACAGATAGTTCCTAGAACCTCAACGACAGTGACAAAATCACGAAATCAGGTGCAAGCATGACATTTTTTATAGGGTACCCAGTAAATCGGAAATATACAGAAGGTAACATGCATCAACATAAGATCAGTACAGTATATACCAACTCGAGACAACATCACATATAGCTCCTAGAAACTCAACGACAGTGACAAAACCACGAAATCAGGTGCAAGCATGACATTTTTTTGCGCCAAACATAAACTAGAACCCTAGACGGGAACAACATCAGAGGGGGTAGGGCTCCATAGCCGAATCCACTCACCGAAAGGCCTCTGCCGCTTGACAGCTGCATGAATCTGTTGCAGGAAGCGGGGAGGGGAGAGCGTGAGAGACGAGGACGAGCCCGACGACGACGTCAGGTTGGTGGCGGCCGTGTCCCCGCCGGTAGGGACCGCGACGGCTCTGGTTCCGGAGGGGTAGGAGGGCGCTGGGGGCCGAGGGAAGCTATCCCTGTTCTCCATAGACGGCGGCGGGGGAGACGGCCGTGGGGCCCACCGGCATCTCGCCGGAGCGGCGGATCGGCGACGCTAGGGTTGCCTGACGGCCGACTGTGGGTGAATCGGTGCAGTCAGCAGCGGGCCGGGGAGGTGCGGCGAGGCGTGGGCTGGGACTGGGTGGTGGCCATGAGACGGGAAGGCAGAGCTGAAGCGAATCGAAGCGAGCGGCTGGAGCCTGGAGGGGGTCGCCCGGGGACTCGGGGAGGGAATGGGGAGGAAACCACAAAATTTGAAATGGAGGAAGACGAAGACAAATTCACAGAGAGGTCCGGGGGGAAAGGGTAAAGGGGGACGGTTCGTAGGCTTGAAGCTTGTGGTATGGGCCGTGCCGGACTATAGTTGAGTACGTACGTATGCAGGCCCATCTTAACGCCCAACAGAACAACAGTCGCCTGTTTTATTTACGAGAAACGAAACGTCTGGTTTGCTCTGCGCGGAAGGAAGAATGGCGTCGTGGTTGGAGCTGCTGCAGCGCGAGCTCGCCGGACGCGGCCTCGCAGTCGCCTCCATCCCCGGCAAGGGAAGGGGCCTCATCGCTACCCGTACCTTCTTCCCAGGTGAAACCACCCGCTTCCTCTCTCTCCCGAACCGATGGCGTAGGTTTATCACTACACGCGAAGCGTGGCGCTTGTTGCCCACGAACTGCTCGATGAAATGCGCGAATGGAACCTGCCGTGAACGCTGGTGCCATGAGCCCATGACACGCATAGACACGTCCTTGAATTGGTGTGATGATTTACTGCTCCGTTGTGTTTGCTCATTTGCTTGGCCTTCACTGGTGCTGACAGAATCTTGCGGTGTGTGGCTGCAGGGGATGTCGTTCTCAATCAGGAACCTTACGTTTCTACGCCTAACAAGATTTTAGTTGGATCGAGCTGTGATCATTGTTTCACCTCTGGCAAACTGAGGAAGTGCTCTATGTGTCAAGTTACTTGGTACTGCGGCAGCGACTGTCAGGTGCTGGCAAAACCTACTCTATATAGCACTTACATTTCCATTGATTGTGCAGTCTCATGCTTGTGTGGTTATTCATGAACATTCCTTTAGTAATTATCATGCTTTTGATATCTTTTTTTTAACGTGTTGTTAGTATAGAAAGAAGAATGGAAACTACATCAGCTCGAGTGTAGAGCAATGGCAGCGCTTACAGAGGATAGAAAAAGGATGCTTACTCCTACAATTCGGTTGATGGTGCGGCTGGTACTAAAAAGAAAACTACAAAATGAGAAGGTAGTGTCTGGCTTTGTCCTTACCCCCTTTTTAGCTTGCCTCTGGCTTTGTTCTTTAGTTCTTACCCCCTTTTTAGCTTGCCTGGGCTCAAACTGTAAGTGGTGTTGCTCCTGTAGTAATTTCATTTTACAGGTTTCTTGAAAATGGATCTGCATACTAGTTACAATGTCTACTGGACTACAGAGATGCTACTTTATTTACCACAAAGACCATCATAATTACAGAGCAGTATCAGATGGCTTATGATTTCTTAATAAACCTATGCTCATGATGTGAAATTGTGAATGATATCTTTGTATATATGATACATAACCGGCTGTATTGTGTTGACTTGTATTGCCAGGTCATTCCATCCTCAAGTATAGATAATTACAATCTGGTTGATGCCTTGGAGTCTCGTATCCTGTCGTGTTGATACATTTGACATGGCGATGAACATAAATATTATGATAAATGATGTTGAATTGACTTCATATACGAATAGATATATCAAAGGTTGATGAAAATCAACTTGTGCTCTATGCTCAGATGGCCAATCTTGTGAGCCTGATTGTTCCTTTGATTGAGCTTGACCTTCAGGAAATTGCACACACTTTATCTAAGGTAATTCCTATCATAATGTTTCATCATCATGACGATAAGTTTATGTTGTATTTGCACTTAAGGTATATAGCATTATTTTGGCTACTATAGAAGATAGATACTGAAATCTTTTGAACATAGCTGGTTTCAGGTGTCATAATTGAACATATATTGTTTAGAATGCAAAAAAAAATTATTTGAGATCAATGATCCAAAAGATGTTGAGAACCTATTTGGATATGGCTGTTTTAGTTCTAACACTTTGGAAATATAGACTGGAGAATGCAAGTGTCCACTGACACCTTGTAGCTTTATTTGAGTAGAGTAGTATCTTTGTATGGAGTACCCCAGGAAGCTAAAACCAAGAAACTTCAGAAAAATATGAGTAGGTTGTACTAATTTATAATCCTCCTTATATTCAAGCAGTTGTCGGGACTATTCTATCAAAGTGCTTTTAGTAAAGTATGGTGTTGCTCATCCTAGATCATGGTCATATTCTGTATGTATCACCCCTTCTGTACAACAACCCTTATGATATATGTGCCGTTAGATTTATTTTCATATCCAGGTGAGTGGTGATCCTTTATGCCACTGAGATGATAAATTATTACCACTTTTTCCAGTTTTTCTCTGGACAGTCAAAATTTCAAAATTGTGGGGAAATATTGCCACTGCTGCATATTTTCGAAATGGTGGAAATATTGCCACTGTGGATCATATAGTGCTTTTTTTAAATTCAGATCATATAGTACTTTGGCATAGATGTTAGGATTAATTTGCAGGTCCAATGATGTTTGTTGGTGAATTAAGCTTGAATTATTGATTGTCTCTCGCACATATGCAGTTTGCCTGCAATGCGCATACCATATGTGACCCTGAACTTAGGCCTCTTGGGACTGGACTGTACCATGTCATATCTATTATTAACCACAGGTCGTATGCTAAGCTATTAGCTATATGTTCGTTTATCTATTATCTTTACTAGATTAGAGCAATTAATAGATCTTTACCTTCTCTATTCACCCATTCTTTTTGGTATATTCAGTTGTGTACCAAATGCAGTTTTGATATTTGATGGTCGCACAGCATATGTTCGTGCATTGCAACCGATAGGCAAAGATGAAGAGGTAAGGAATCTATACCTTGTGTCCTGATCATATAATCTTAAATTGCATGCCACGCTTTCATTCTATCTTTTTCTTTTCCATTGTTATCTTTCTGTTTAATGTTGGTTGTGTATCTGACTATCTGTCGTCACTTGTCAGGTATCTATAAGCTACATTGAGACTGCAGCAGTCACCAAGAAGAGACACAACGATCTGAAGCAGTACTTCTTCACCTGCACATGTCCACGTTGTGTCAAGGTTTTTTCCCCCTTTTTTCCTGTCCATTATTTTTTTAAACCTCTTCCATGACAAATTGACCAATTCTTGACCATCAAATTGTATCTTTTATACAATTTCTCAATGCAGGGTTCTGAGGAGGATGCTCTACTTGAGGGGTTCAGGTGCAAGAACCAAGCATGTGATGGCTTTCTGCTGCCAGACTCAGGTTGGTTGCCAATAAGACGAAAAATACTCATTGAATGGTTGTGGAGAAGTAGTTCAAAATTGTTGGATCAACCAAACATATATTACGTTGAAATTGGAGAACTCATTTTGTTTAATCGGTCATTAATCTTATATTTTGTGTCTATCTGACTCTATAGGTAAAAAGGATTATACATGCCAAAAATGTAGTGTTTCTAGAGACGAGGAAGAGATAAAAAAGATGAGAAGCGAAATACTACAGTTATCGGATAAAGCATCTTCATTTCCTTCATCAGGAAGTATCCTTGTCTATGATTAAGTGTCTGCGAAACAAAAAGAACTCTCACATCTGATCAAAATCATTGTCTCTATTTGTTGTACCTAATACATATATCATCTTAATGAGGGAAATAGATAAGGCTGAAGCAGGTTCTGTTTATAAGATAATCGAACAATTAGAGCGGAATCTGTACCATGCTTTCTCAACCACTTTGCTGCACACGTGTGAAACACTCCTGAAGGTAAATTTCTAGCTCGTATAATATGACCATTTAGTTATTGGATGGAAATCAAGCTGACTTGACTGAGCTATACCTTCTTTGTAAAATTTGTTCTAACAAGAAAGGTTCTTAGTCCAGAGTATTTTATGGAATAGGGACCATGAATACTACCATAACCATCCATTCAAATTTTCAGTTACGTTCTACTATCTTGCTAATACCTATTATTGGCGCAGATATATATGGAATTACAAGATTGGCGGACTGCATTGGCATACTGCAGATTGACAATTCCTGTTTATGAAAGTAAGGCTGTTTTATATTATTATTTGAGCAAATTCTGTTTCAGTTGGAGAACATTTCGCACAGTAACTTTTCTGTTTCTGCTTTTATATGTTATATAATAATTTGTGAGACTTTATCTACCTAATCAGATCCTGATGTCTGATGTTAACACTAGAAATATTTTGCTCATCAGTAAGAAATCAAACATGATATTGTTCCATGAAAGGCTGTTTCCCTGTTATACCCAATTACTATTTGATCACATTTGGTAGTGCTCTGTTTTAAATCCTGTTTTTTTCACACATCTTTTTTACTTCCAACAAAGCTCAATGCTCACTAATGTTTTTATCCATCCATCAGGAGTTTATCCACCTTTTCATCCGATGATTGGATTGCAATTCTATACTTGTGGAAAGCTTGAATGGTATGGACTATTAACCCTTACCCATTTACCTCACACAAGGACGGCAATCATATGAGTGTGTTCCTTATCCAGTATAAATGTTTGCTATTAATGTCTTATGCTTTACTAAAACAGCTGGTGTTGATTTTGACAAAAGTTGATCTTGGGTTTGACACCGATAGTATAGGGTCTAAGAGCAACTCCAAGAGCCTCTGTAAATTTCAATCTCTATATCTAACATTTTGAGAGCCATTCAATGATATTCTCTTTGTATATCTCTCTTGTCTCCAACGGACTCTCCAATTTTTGTTCTCTATACTCCAATAGCTTATCATAATTTTCCTTGCATGAAAAAAACAAGAAAACTACCATATATTGCATTTAGGAAGCCATGTAGCCTCTTCAAAAGTGGAGAGTGAGAAGGGTGGTTTTGGAGAGTGGAAAGATGGAGAGTGGTTTAGAGAAGTCTATCTATTGGAGATTTTTTTTTGGTTTGTTTTCTAAATTTTGTGATAAAGAGACGTGTAGAGAGTGTCTTGGAGATGCTCTAAGAAAAGTCTAGCTGTGATCTTTCATAAAGAGAAGTTCAGAATCAGTCCTTTTTATTTCGTGTTCTATACTAGTTTCCTTTTAAAAAATCATAGTAAATCCTTCACAGCATTAAACAGTCCTGTTCATTATTTAGAGTTACATGACTACATTACACCTAGTTTTTTCCCTGTTGTAGGTTGCTTGAGTGCACAGAGGATGCACTAAAATCTTTAACCAGGGCAGCAGATATACTTAAAGTAACACATGGCACAAAATCCAGTTCATGAAGGAGCTCTTTGGCAAGCTAGAGGAAGCAAGGGCTGAAGTTTCTTTTAGGCTATCCTCCAGACATGGACATGATGAGTAATTTTCATAACTGCAGGCCAACCATGATGGAGAAGAATATATTGAAAATATCCTTCTACTGTTGAGATCATATTTTAAGGGACGATAAGCATTGTGGAGACTTTGTAGGCAAAGAATTAGCACTGTTGTGAAATGATCATATGCTGACACAAAATATGCCTTAATTTGTTGTATAACGAATAGGATTTTGAATTTAATTGTATACCATGTGGTAAGTTGAACTCCATAAACTCCCTTATACCCAGCATTCATCTTTAACTACTCGAGTTGGACATCTTTCACATGGCACAAGGAGCACCAATGCACTGTCAGAGTGCCACATTTTATGAGAATCCAAAAGCAGCTACTGATATTTCTGAGTGACGATGTAGAAGTTGGATCAAAATGGATTATCATTGCATTTTCTATACATCGATGTGTGTTAGTCTTCACACGATATGTTCTCTATCATCTATGCTTAAATCCTGGGCCTCATTTTCGACACGGAAGTCTTACCGGTTTCTCAGAAAATGTACAGCTTCCAAAAACTTCCTATCTTTCAAATGGAATATTGATATTTACACGTCTTACACTACCTCAGTCTTCAGGCGAGGAAGAAGGATGTTACAGATAGCTGACACCTAAATGTTATCATAACATTATTATAATGGAACCCTGTATGTTGGGTCGACCATCTTCAGTACGAACAAGTTTCCCTTGTCGCCTCTCGAAACCCTGCAAGCAAGGTGGTTTCTTACAACATTAGCAAATGGTATCCCCAAGGCCCAACCATTGCTTAACAAAGAGGCCTTAGTTAAGCTTATAGGTATAGAACAAAAGAATTTTCCAGCTTTAGTAGTTCAATGAAAGAGCAAAACTCATGATGGAGGAGAATATATGAGATGAGGCAATGAAATAATTAAAAGTGCGTCCATCAGAAACCTTTCGGAGGGATAAATATGCTACCTGAGCTCTTCATCAAGATAAGTAATTTCAAGTTCACCTTTACCACTTCCGGGTGCTTTGATCGGGATCTAATCATAGAGAAACTAAAATAACATTAGCTCACCTTTTGCTACCTAAAAATCGACTATGCTGTGGGCAAAAAGTTTCTGAGGAGAGAGAACATCCATAATGAGTATGAACAGGAAAAGTAAACAAATCTAGCAAGGGAAGTGAAGGATTACATCAGGACATAAGTTTATACATGTTGAGATCATGGTATACCAGCATGCCTATCTGTTCACTACTCAGCAGTGAATTACTTTGGTAAAACTCAAACAAAAGGTAACCAGTTCAAGCACAAACTAGACAACATGAATTATAGACTATCAGTGTAACACCCAAACTATTTTTTTTAACGCAAGTAACATCCAAAGTAATACTTGGAGGATAATACGTCTTACCAAACTAAATATCTTGAAGTAATCAAATTTAACTGCCACTCTTCTAGGATTCAGAGGTACCAAGTTGGCATTAACCTGAAAAGACAAAACATAGGTTAATCAAGGCAGCACCATGCTTCAGAGGACCAACCAACACAAGTAATACAAAACCAGCAACAATATCGAGTATGCCATTAGGAATATATTTGCAGGCAAAAGCCTAGAGCATTACATGTAGCATAGCAGCTGTTCAAAGGAAAATGCAACATAATAACTTCAAAAGCAGCAAAACAGTATAGAGTTATATAGTTGCAAACTGACACTAGAAGAAGGTTCCAACATGGAAATGAACATGTCATTAAAATGAAGTCAAGGCTTCACTACTGTGATCAATGCTTCAGCTAACATGCGTTTGGCACCTTGGGTGCCGTTGTACATAAACCTCTTTTTTCCTACTTAATTGAGCGGCAGAGCTCCTGCCTTTTCCTTCAAAAAAAAAAAAAAAAAAGCTTCAGCTAACATGCTCCTTTATCCAGAGCACAAGCCAGTGTCCTACTTCCCAAAACCGCTTGCCCATAACACATCAGAAAGATCTCAGCTACATGCCACACATAAGGTACAGCGTGTCGTTCCCAGATGAGAACTCTTTGCTTCATAACAAAGAAAGGGATTGAAGAATGCTGAAGGCGGGGAAAAAGCCAAAAGTACACCGCAACAAGTTCTAGCGAAAATTACCTGATTAAAGTAAGGATACGTTTCCATATTTTGGGCTCTCAAAGTGTCGGCGTTAATTGCTTGGTAAATCTTCCCAAACGGCCTCAGATACTTTGGCCTCTGCAGTAGAAAGTGAGTAGAATTTGACATTCCTGTAAAAAGAATTCTAACTATTTTCTTCAGCAGCAGCATGCCAGGAAGGCCGAAAAGATATAAACTATGAACTGAACTTCTTCTTTTTCCCTCGAATTTAATAAATTCTGCAAACGTGAAGATTACCGCCCTATTACCAATTTACCACTAGGAAACAATAAAGCACGCAATCTTTAAGATTTCTAGGGTGCCAATGTAAAGGTTCTGATAAGCACCAATTTGTCACTATGAAACAATAAAGCACGCAACCTTTGAACTTATCAGAACCTATCTTTCAAAGAAAAGAACTTATCAGAACCTGTACATTGCTGAGGCAAAAAGGAAATGAACCTGTGGTTGCAGTATACTTGTGGAGGTGGTATAGAGAAGCTCCCATTTGCCGTTGAGGAGATCGGACTTGAGCGGCTCCTTCACCTGGTTCACCGCCTCCAGCTGCTGAGCAATCTGAAGCAAAAAAAAATAAAAAATAAAAAAAATAAAAAAACAGCTCGCGAGTAAGCTCTACTATCAACCAATGCACGGTTCGTCCCTCGCAGCTACTAGTTTCTTCGTCCTCACCTGCTCGACGCGCTCCTTGTCCTCGGGCGTGGCCTCGGCGCCACGCTCCAGCGGCGCGATGGCGTCGAGGAGCTCCTCCTTGAGCCTCACCGCCTTCTCAGCGTCCTTCTCCCCCTTATTCCCTGTGAAGAACGGCGGCAGGAAGGAGAAGGACGATATGCCTGCTCTCCACCTGCCGCCGCCTTTCCTACCGCCGACACCCGGGACCGCGGCGAGCGCGAGGCCTGGCACTCTCCTGCGCTCGCTGCTCCGCGACGACGCGGGAAGTTGGGAGGAGGCGGCGGCGGCGACGCTGGGGCCGGGGCTGGCGGCCAGCGGGCGCGAGGATCCGGGCGCGCACGAGACGGAGAGCGGGAACGAGGCGGGCGCCATGGCACGGCGCGACACGGCACCGCCGCACGGGGAAGCGGAGGGACGCGGTGGAAGCGAGCGGGATTTTTGCGTGCGATTGCGGTGGAAGTCGTGGGGCGGGGGCGGGCCGTGCGTGATTTCCAGAAGGAGGCAGCGCAGAGCCTGTTGCGTTTTTTTGAGTGGTGGATAGAGCGCGCGGGCGCGGCGCCCCGGGTGGGGGTCTCTGACTCTCGGCCGATTTTTTTTTAGCTTTTTTTAAAAAAAAATCACAAATATGTCATTAAGATATGATTTCAAAATCTGGACCCACTCGGCGTCATTATTGCTGGCGCCGAGTTTACACGTCTCGGCGCCATTGTTGCTCGGAGCAGACGTGGCGGTGACTTGGCAGACAGCTCGGCGCCGTAGATCCTGGCGCCGTAGATCTTGGCGTCGAGCTTGGCGCCAATATCTATGGCGCCGAGGTGATGTTTTAACCCGGCCCCAAACCTTCCTGTCCGAGCTTTCTTCCTCTTCTTTCTTCTCCCTCTCAAGTTTTTTCTTTCCCCACTTCGCCCTACCTTACGAATATGCATATTGGACCTTGAAAACTTTGATTTGATCCGTGGATCTTCAAGAGCAAGGTATCTTCGCTCCCCTCCTAGTTTTTTTTTCGCATCGATTCGGTATATATTAGTCGGATTTTTCAACCTAAGAATCGTCATTACTTAGGGTTTCATGCAATTTTTAATATTTGTGTTATACAACCGTAGGATGCCAAGGCGTGAAAAAGCTAGCAAATCAAGGTAACCTCAGAGCATGTTGTTATGTTATGGATTTCTTGTTGTGCATCAAATGAGAAACCCTAGGTTTATGGTTTAATATTAATTGCTTTCGATTCTTAAAACAAAATTGGTTGAACTGTAGTTATAACCGGATGACCGGAAATGCCTTTGACCCATTCCCTCTACCTAGTGGTGTCCAGTGCACATGTGCTTTTACGACGATCCTTGCAAGGTAGTCAAGTCCGATGAAGATGACACGTATAGACAGAGGTATTGAATGTGTTCTAATTTTACGTTTAAGCCTACACTTCGTCAGCGCCGCATTAACAAGATGGTGAGGAATTGGTGTTTGTGTCATATGACATCTTGCATGATTTTTTTGTTATGTAACAATTGTATTTTTTGCAGACCCCTCCACCGCTCTGTGATTTTGAGCAGTGGATCGACACTGAGATCAAGCTTGAAGACAAGGAATGGATGCAGAAACTGTTGCGGTAGGTGGCAGATGACAAGGAGATGATGGAGAAGAGATGCGGAGAGGAGGCTGCAAAAAAGGAGCACAGAGAAGAGGAGGAAAGGAGGCGTGTTGCTACGTACAAAGAGGAGAGAAAGAAGAAGCTTGAGCGTGCACGCCGAGTAAAAGCAGCCATGGAGGAGAATCTCGATGTTCTGAGAAAGGGAAAGTGACCTCGTTGCACTCAGTAGTCTCCATGACTTGCTAGTTCTATGGTTTATTCATGAACAATATTGTCTACATTGTCGGCACGTACTTCTAGTATTATTATGTTGTTTAATATAGCATAGTATTGGACTTTTTATTATGTAGTTGTTTTCATTATTTGTGGTCATAATATTAGTATAATGTTGTGGACGTAGTGAAATATGATCATGTGCTGCAAACACAACCTAACGAAGTAAGGCATTATATAATTTAACACACAAAACATATGAAAATGACATGTGAGAACATGTACCGAACTAGGGTACAGAGTTTCTTCGACTAAACCTAACATGCCTTAGGTAATTAAACCAAACAACAAACACATGGATGTGCCATGTGAATAAGATAGGGTTATCCTAGTAGTGTGGCCACATAGCAAATTGTGTTGCACCTTCTCCACGGTAGCCTCCTATTGTTGTTGTTGGTGGTGGCTGGGGTGACGACGGAGGCCCCTTGTTCTTGTGGTTAGGGCAGGTGCAATATGAATCATTGTACAGTGTCTCCTGTGAATCGGCACCATTGTTGTTGCCGTCCTGTTCATCGTCCGTGTAACCGCTGCTAACTTCCCTTTCTAGATCGAAGATACGGTTCTGCAGGTAGTAGATATACTCCGCATGCGGATAAATAGGTCGAGCATCGACCCAACTAGTGAACCCACAATTTTCTTAGACCAAGAAAGACTGCAATAAGTATGTCTTGTAAGTTGTATAGAAGATGAATATATTAAAAAAAAAATAGTAATAGCAATTACCCATGCTCGCAGGCATTTGAAGAAATGACGACCTCCATCTATTCCCTCGGTGAACATCTACACTAGGCAGTCCTCACCATGCATGCATTTTGACCACTCTTCTTTTTGTTCATCGTATCCTAACAGTGGTGCCTCTTTGGTGAAATCACTTTTGCTCTCAACTGGGAACCTCTCATAAAGAGCTTCCTCAAAAAAATCAGGACTCCCACACAATGGTAGTTCCCTTCCCCTTTCCTCTCCCTCTGGACGACCCTCCAGATATTGGTACTATAACGAAAGAAAATACTAGTTGAGAAGTAAGTAGCAATGCATCCAGCATTGCGTATATATAGGCAGAGGCAGGTTTAGTTGTTGTTTTAATGTGTTATAACTGGTCACAAGAAGTCTAATTAATTTCACTGAAGAGCCTATTTTAATAGACACTAAAAAGCCTAGATTCGTTTCCTGAATAGTCTATTCGTCGTTGACATGATAAATCACTCAAAAGCCTAGATGCTATATGTGTACTATGTAAGTGAAGTGATAAATCACTGCTATCATCATACTCCTCGTTCTTGTAACTGAAAAGTCTATTTTCATTGTCTGAAAAGTCTAGATTCGTTCGCTGTTACTGAAAAGCCTATATACTATATGTGTACTATGCAAGTGAAGTGATAAATCGCTGCTGTCATCGTACTTCTCGTCCTTGTAAATGAAAAGTCTATTTTCATTGTCTGAAAAGCCTAGATTCGTTCATTGTTACTGAAAAGCCTATATTCATCTGCAAAGCGTCTGTACGATACGATTGTATTATACACGTTCTAATAAATTTATATTTAATCTGTGTACTACATTTGTGCCTTTTTAGCAGTGTAGTATAATTAATGATTCTACGAAAAAATTCGCAAGAGTTTTTCTTGTTTTAGGAGTATCCATAGTTACAAACGGAGTCGCAAGCGGACGTCGGGATCGATGGCCCTAGGATGGAGTCACAGCGGACGCCGGGCGTGAGTGAGGCCGACGAGCTGGGCCAGCGGTGGCACGGCCGGGTGCTGTAGGGGCCGAGGCCGGTGGTGGCGTGATCGGGGCCGGTGGTGGTGCTTGGTGGGTAGTAGGATGGATGGCGCTCTGCAGCGAGGCGGCCTGGCAGGCACGCGGCCAGCCTTGAGCATGGCTGGCATGGCATGGTGGCATGTGGCGCGGGCGGCACGGCGGGCGAGATCGGCACTGCAAGGCCTGGCGAGCCAGGCGAGATCGGTGGCGGCTGCGGCGGCACGGCAGGCGTGCGCACGCACGGCAGGCAGACGGGCTGCAGGTGCGGTGGCGCGGCAGTGAGGAGCGGTGGCCTCCGTGGGCTCAGGCGAGGGCACGTGTGGGTGTTGATGAGGAAGGTTTGTATATAGATCTTGGTCCTTAACATCCACCAGCTCCAAAACCTCAGAGTCAAGGTTGCAGCAAACAAAGGGATGGTGAAGGATTTGATGTAGATACATACTGTAAAACAGACAGTGATGATGAATCTGTGTCTGATGATGATGATTATGCAATGGAGGATGTAGATGACATTGTTAAAGATAATGAGCCTAATCATATGCCTGGTGCTGAGTATGACAAGAAGGATCCTCCTATGACAGTAGGCAGTGTGTATAGAGACATGTATACATTTAAGCTGGCTTTAGCTTCACATGCTGTCAAACATGAGTTTCATTATGACATTGAAAAGAGTGACACATAAAGGTACAAAGTTTACTGCTGTGGGAGTACTAAGGGCTGCAGGTGGAGAATTCATGCCTCAACCATGAAGGATGATGAATCAATTAGGGTAATCTGTTAGTTTCGAATTTGTATGCTTTTTTATCTGTTAGTTGTTTTTAGATATAAGCATTTTATTTTTATGTCATTTGCAGGTGAAGAGGAACCCATATCCCCATACATGGCAAAGCAAAAGGAGGTTTGGCGTATGTAAAGGGGTTACACAGTTTTGGGTCTGTGAACAAGTGATTGACTGGTTGAAAGAAGATGCAACTGTTGGTGCTACTGAACTCCAAAGGAGACTGAAGGATGAGTACAAAATCTTGATACCGTATAGGAGGGTGTGGAATTGTAAGAATCTTGCATTGGATAAACTGTATGGGCCCTGGAATAAAAGCTTTGATAACCTGTATAGATTCAAGGCCCAGCTAGATAAAACATGTCTGGTTCATTTATTGTGATTGATCACCACACCATCAACAAGAAGATTAGGTTTAATAGTTTTTTAGCCCTAAAACCATGTGTTGATGGCTTCCTTAGAGGTTGTAGGCCATATTTGGCAGTAGATAACACTTTCTTGTGTGGAAAGTTTAGGGGCCAGTTGTGCATTGCTTGTGCAGTTGATGCGCACAACTAGATGTACCCAGTAGCAATATGTGTCATTGATTTTGAAACAAATAAAAACTGGGTTTGGTCTATGGAGAGGTTGAAGTAAGCAATAGGCACCCCACCTGGTCTGACATTTTGCACAGACTATGGGCAGGCAGTAATACATGGTGTTAGTGAGGTCTTTCCACATGCTGAACATAGAGAGTGCATGTGGCATTTAGTTCAAAATTTTAAGAAAAGGTCCAGTGGTAAAAAATTTTATGATCACCTATGGGCATCTGCCTACTCTTAGAGCAAATACATGTTTGAGAAACACTACCAGGCCATGGCTGTAGCCAAACTTGAGGCAATGAAGTACCTGCAACAGAATCACAAGTTGCTATGGACCAGAAGTCAGTTTGGCACATATTCCAAGATGGATTATGTAACCAATAATTTGGCTGAG